ACACCGAATCAGTATCTATAACAAGGAAAACTGTGTTAAGGGGAAAGGAACAATAAATCCATCGTACGTTCCTGCCAGTACTAAGTAAGACACCCACACCTTGGTACCTTGGACAGTCCTTTCATTTTCCTCTCCCTAACACAGTACTCGCAGTTCCTTAGTAGTTAATGCCAAACCCGGAAGTGCAGTGAATTCAGGTCTGTCTGCAGCCCCTCTGGGGAAGAGATGCCTTGGATTCCTTAGCGCTGCCTCTGCATTGTCTCATGCTACAGTCTCAGATCCATTATAACTGTAGCAGGGCCGGACCAGGGCACCTTGCCACTGCCTCTAAAATACTCGATCCAGCTCCTTACTAGAAGTCACTTAGCACTGCAGAGATTAAAGAGCTTTGGGACACTGGGATCCTTATCCCCTGATATTTGCTCCTGATGTCCTGTGCCACTCTTTGCCTAGTGCTTTGTTTCTGGTTCCACTGCCCAGCTGTGTCAGACTGAGGTTCTAGATGTGGCTGCTCCTCATTCAGGGCATGTTGGGTAGAGTTGTGCTGCCCTTTCTCACACACAATGAGGAGAACAACATTTCACCAGCTCTGCACTGAGAACTTCACTGACTAGTAACCAAAACAAACAGACTGTTCTCCTTGAGATGCTGGGTAACAAATATACAAATAAGGTCTGGCTCCTTTCATCTCCTCCTGACTCATCGCTAGCTGGTGGCAGAGAGTTCTTTCCCTGGAGCTCCCCTTAGGTAACCCCAGTTGTCGGGGGGAGGTGTAGGAGCAGGATTTTATAATGCCCCATGAGAATTAATGTATGGTTTGATTTTATCCTGCCAGCCACCAGATTTGAATAGCAGAAAGGAATGACAGACCAGAACAATCCTTATGACTGATTATGGTCACCCTTTTGTTTTAGGATAAGTTATAATGTCTACTATGGTTTCTATATGTATTACAAATTAGGCACTCTAGTTAAATATACATTTCTTTGTTTTAAAGTTTAGTAAGTAAGAGACAGGATCTTGTATTGTATCTATGTTAAGGAGATTAGAGGAATGTTGAGGGCCTGAAGCCCCAATGTGAATTGTTTTAGTTATAAGATTTAGCAAGGCTTGATTTACAATGTATTCTGCTGAATATAAAATACTGCTGTCTGGATACCTTTGAAGGTTTCTGTAAGAAATTGTTTGTGTGAATGAGGAATGCCTGCATCAGGAAAAGATAAGGTGTGAAAGCCATCACAAATGTCCAGATGGTCAAGAAAAAGTGAGAGACTTGGAAAGACCAGGAAACAATCAGAAAACATCCATTGTATCCGATGCTAAACATGTTAGCAGCATTGATGACCTCAGAGGTGAGGCAGGCACCCCCAAAGGCGAGACAACAAATAGGAGATAACGATGGGAAGCCCAACAAGAACCATCAAATGATAACACCACTTAAGGACTAATGATTACAGGATGACATTGCAAAATGCAGGGACTCAAATGGAAATTTACAACTATAAAGCTGGGGTGTTTTGCCATGGAACTCTGGGTTCAGTCCTGCAAAGCCTCGGAGCATCGGATCGTGACCGACACGAGCCCAGCTCCACACTCGTGCTCCATCTAACTGGCCATTAGATTGACTCGAGCTACAACAGACTGGTAACTATGAACATCAACTGGCAGGACTCTGTGTGTGTGTGTGTGTGTGTGAGAGAGAGAGAGAGAGAGAGACTGAAAAGCATATGCTAACTTGTATTTTCAATAAATGCGGCGTATTTGCCTTTTCCCGGAAAAGATCCCGTGTGCTTTGTATGAGCATAACAGAGGGGAGTGGGTGCAGCTAGCCCAGCTCTCACTGAGCAGAGGCACTGCCAGCTGGGACACAGGCAGGCGACGGACCCTGGGCTGGCTTTAATGTCCGCAGCGTTCTGGTGACTGGGACGAATTGAGGAGTCAGCCTGGAGCGTGTCAAGCAGTTTGTGGGGAAATTAAACCCGCCAGAGTGGGTCTTTGTGACCTACCAGGACACAGAGGGAGCACAGGTCAGAATGGGATGAGGTGAGACAGAACAAACTGTGTGTCCTGGAGGAATCTGAGCAAGGAGCTGACGTAACTGCAGCCAGAGGATCTCAGACACTGACCAGCCTTTGGTTTTGTAGATACACCCACGACAACTTTCATCTCGTAGCTGAAGCAGGACAACTGTGAAATTGTGGCTGAGTGCACTGTATTTGCAAGGCTAACTGCACACGTAGTTTCCAAGGGGTTCAGGCTGCATCTTTGTAACTTATACATGATGCGGTATAGACCTGTGACATACCAGGACACAATCCAGAGCAGAGGGGGGCTTGTCACCCTTGCCCTTCAACCTTGGTGCCTATAGCGGGGTGGACACCCGCTCCTGCCTGGAAGGGCTTGAAAGCAGTCCTGGAGAGGGCTGCAGCTCTAAAAGCTGGGCTGATTGGGGAAGCGGTCGCAGCTGGGCCACACCCCGATCAGGCCACAGCTGGCCTGTATAAGAGGCTGGGAGCCAGGAGCTCACCCCTCTCTCTCTGCATTCAGAGAGAGAAGGGCCTGGCTGCAGGAGCTAGAGACAGGGTACCTGAAGGGAGCAGGGCTGGGGAAAGGCAGAGGAGCTGAGGAGGCTCCAGCCTGGAAAGCCCCAGGCTGCGGCCTAGCAGAGGGCCCATGGGTACTGGGGGTTGCGGAGGGCAGCCCAGGGGTAGGCCAAGGCAGCAGGTCCAAACTCAACCTGGCCTGTGATGAGTGGCACTTACACTGCAGTCCACCCCAGGGCATGGGGGCTAGTTGGTGACTGGCAGTAGCCCACGACTGAGGCAAGGTGGGGCTAGAGGGTTGGGGGTTCCCCTGGGTAGGGAGACCCTGAGAGAAAGAGGGGTTACTGCCAGGGGGCAGCACCCGGAGAAAGGGGCACTGGGGTCCTGGGAGGGACATGGGGGGCCAGCGATAAGGTGGATTACCGGCCTGCAGAGGGCGCTCCGGAGCTGGGATGAGCTAATTCCCATGGACGACCAGCAGGAGGCACCGCAGGGGTGAGTCCCACACCCCTACAGTGCTTCACAATGTCCTGCTGTGGTAACTCCCACCGGGGCTGCTCACAAACAGCCTTCGAAGATGCAAGCCACACCCTGAGTGTCTGTGTGTAACTGCACCTACCTGCTACACTCTGGCTCTCACCAGCCTTGGTTATACAGCAGGGTGACCCCTTCATACCCCCAGTCCCAGATCTTCGAAATGAATGTGCTATACTGCCCAGCCCTCTCCTGGACACTACAGATATATGGTCTGGTATTTCTTTAAGGGAATAATATGCCATTATATTACCTTAAATAGTTATCCAAACACTCCAATTTAAACACACTGAATTAGATAAACCAGTAAAACAAATCTATTAGCTACAAACAGAGATTTGAAGTGAGTTCAAGTAGCAACAGAGCTTTCATGCGTTATTAACTTCTGTGTGGGCAGGGCTGTGGGGTTTGGAACACGTGTTAATAACACCATACAGGGGACTCTTGCACCTTCACATACAATGTTGCCACACACATTTTACCAGGACAATACTGACCAGCAAAGTATGAGTTTTCTAATGTACTTTGTACAGAGGTTATTACCATGGTGTATAGGGTGTGAATACAGGGGTATGTTTTGTCACAAGACCTTCCCCGGATTGCCTATCTCGGGAGAGTAAAAATCATGAGTCAGACTCCCAAAGTCAGAAGATTTTAATTTAAGGAAATCCAATCATTTTTTGCCCGTTTTTGACTTTTACTCCCCCCTACGCTCTGTGTGTGTGTGTGTGTGTGTGTGTGTGTGTGAGAGAGAGAGAGAGAGAGAATTACAGGTTGAACCATCAGCCTTTAGTGCGCACAGAAATGTAGCCACTCCCTGGTTGCTCAGCTGCAGACTTCACTTACCTTCTCCCCCCTCAGACAGGGGAACCGCCCCCCATTTCCTATCCCTGTCTTCACCCAGCAGCAACAAGTCTGTGCCTGGGACCCAGTGGCACCACTTCCCTGGCTATCCCTCCCCGTTTTCTCCTGCTGCCCCAGCCCTCCCTCAGCTCTAGTGCCATGCATTAGGGTTGCCTGCTCTCCGGTTTTCGACCAGAACGCCTGGGTTGCTGCTAAAAGTCTGGCTGGCCACAGCACCAGCAGGGCAGGCAGGCTCTGTGCCCAGCTCCTTGGAAGTGGCCGGCATGTCCTTCCAGCTCCAAGGCAGAGGGGTGGCCAGGGGAGCTCCACAAGCTGCCCCCGTCTGCAGACACCACCCTGAGCACCAGCTCCACAGCTCCCATTGTCTGGGAAGCAGCCAATGGGAGCTGCGGGGGCCACCTGCGTATGGGGACAGAGTGCAAAGCCCCATGGCTGCCCCTCTGCCTAGGACCTGGAGAGATATGCCGGCCACTTCCGATCACCTCCTGAGGTGAGCACTGCCTGGAGCTTGCATCCGAACCTCACCCACACCCTGTGAGTATGGGGCGCAGGACCTACCATTGGAAAGGACTCCGGGGGGAAAACGGGAGCGGGAGCCCAGTGTGCTCCTGGAATGGCCTGTGGGATGAAGGCTGAGGCGAGATTCCTGGGCTCGCCTGGAGGCAGGGCTGGATTTAGGGGCAGGCGACGCAGGTGACCGCCTGGGGCGCTGGACTTGGGGGGCACCAGGCTCGGGGTGCTGCTTTTGTTCTTAGCAAATGTATAGTCTTATCTGACAGGGATAACTCATGCCTGCAAATCATGCATCGAGTCATGAAATGGGGTCCCAGTGCAACACAAAACTAGGTATTCAAATGTTTTACAAATGGCGGGGGGGTAAGCCGAGGATGCTCCTTGCCTGAGTGCCACTGGGTCCTGGGCCAGCCCTGCCTGGGGAATGCTGTATCCAGGTGCTGCCTGGACTGTGGGGTAGGTGACTCTTTGGCTCAGTGCTCCCGCCCCAGCATCAGCTGAGCTGCTCCTGAAACTCGACTCTCCTGCAACTAAAGGAGGCTGAATTCAAAGCAGTCGCTTGGACTGGGTCTCACGCTTGCCATCGGCCTTACAGGGCACGGTGCTGCACTCAGAATGGAAGAAACCCCCCAGGGCACTTCACTGCGGGGAGAACAGGGGACTGCTGGAGTGGGGGCTGCTTGTTTTGAAGCGAGCCATGAGGAATACACCTCCCAAGAGGTGCTGTCAGCATGCCAGCCTGGCACCTCTCTGGGCACTACCTTCTCTGTCCCCATGTCTGTTTTCACCCAGCCAGGATGGATGGCAGTGCACAAGATCCCGGTGTCTTTGAGCTCTGCTGCCAGGCACCTTTTCACCATGTTCAGAGCGGCCTGGAAAATAAACCACATCTTTGTAAGGGCCTCTCGCTGCTGATCCTAAGACTTTCCGAGGCTGAGTGGGGAACGCAGCTTACCTTGCTGGCACGGTAGGGGTACATGGGGATCTCCAGGACTTTGAAGCACAGCTCGATGGAGCCCACATTAGTGGACATGTTGATAATTGCTGCCTTGCTGCAGCTTAGCCCCTCCTTTCCGGCTTTCTCAGCTGCCCTCTTCAGCAGGGGCAGAAACTCCTGATGAAAATAAAAACCCAACAAACGTCCTCAATCGTGGTGTTGGGACCCGCCTGAGCTGTGGCGCCAAGCTGTGGACATGGCAGCTGTGATGGGGCCCTGCCCTCCCTCCCACCGGCGGGGTAGCTCGGCCATGGTCCTGTTGCCCCTTTCTGAGCCGAGC